GGGCCTAGGTGTTTTTCCCCCCCCTTGATCATGAGGCCCTTTTCAGGGCCGTCCCCATCTATGGCAGGAGAGGTGCACCTCTCTTCGCCCTCCCGTGTAACGCCCCCCCCCGTTGAGCACAATGGAGGCCAATCCACCAGAAACCTTCCACAAGAAACCCAACCCTGAGACCCCAAGACGTCCATTGGTTTTTTGGTGTGGGAGCGACACGCTTCCTATAGCAAAACCATCGACACCCAAGAAACCCAAGGCACCCTGGAGGCGAGCCGGGTGTTTCTTGGCGCGGGCCCCCACTTTATGGCCCAAGAGATTATGTTCGCCCCCCGTGCATCGCCCATCCCCAGATGGGGTACGCAGCGCCCGACCTGTGAGAGGGCCCTGCTTTTTCTGGAGCCGCACTGGCTGTGCGGATACGAGTGAGCAGCAGGAGCACGACCAGGACGCAAAAGGGGCCCCCTGATCGACAGCGGGGCAAAACAAGGCTTACCAAAAGGGCTACACAGAAGGCTACAAAACAGGAGCAGCAGGAGCATGATCAGGTGCTACAAACAGATGGGACGCACAAAGACATACTAATACCATATGTCCTCCCTGGAGGCGAACGTCCGACCCGAACATGTAGTCTACCCCTCTTGTAATATGTCGTTTCCCGAACGGTGTGGCCAGGAAACGCCCGTGACGTACACATACTATTCGTATGTTAGGGCGACGCCGGAAGAGAGGCGGGAGGAGGAGGGCACCTGCTCGACGGCGCTCCCGTCGCCCGGAGGGGGCAGCTCGACTCTCGGCCGACGGTCTTGGCGCAGGCCTTTGCGGCAGTGCGAAGCAGGGCTGACTGAACCTAAAAAGTGCTTTTCGTTTTCGTTTTCCCTCGTTTTGTCTCCAATCCGCCTTTACCGCAAAACGAAGTCGAAACGAAAACGACCCACGAAATCGCCAAAACACCGTTTAGGTCCAGCCCTGGTGTGAAGGATTCGTGTCGCGAGGAGCAGGACGCGAGCCGGGGAATGCGTCCAGGGTCTTCTCTTGTGATGGCTCCCTCGTTCCCGCGGACACCTTCGGCTACACGCAAGAGTGATCCTGTGTAAGAGTGACCTTTGGTGCGCGGCTTTTTGGGGGCCGCGGGGGGACCAAACCTGGGCGCGCAAGCCGCTGCCCCTGTTTCGTTTTCGGCCATCTGGGGACCCATCTGTGCCCGCACCAAGGGTCACTCCGGCGAAAGGTCACTCTTACGTCTAGTCGACCTCCTCTGCAGAGACCCGGTGCAGACCGCGGTGCCTGCTACAAGCAGCGTGCCAACATAAGCAGCCAGCATGCAAGCGAAGGAAACGATCCCTCTGCACAGAGACAGCACTCAGACGACATGTGGCACGAAGAACGAGACGCATTTCTGCTCCAAAATATGCTGGGGTTCCCTGTTGGGACTTGAGCACCACCACGGGAACACGTGACGAACGCCAAATTCCTCCTTTGGGATACAGTCGGGACGTTGACCTAAGGAACCCTAAATAAGGAACGAGGCCGATTTCTCCCATTGGTTCAAGTTCGATTTCCCATCGAAAACCTAAGGAAAACCTAAGGCAAGCTGTGAAACAGTCAAGGAACACGGAGCCCTCCCCAACGAGAAGGGTTCCTTCTTCCGTGCCCCGACTGTAACCCTGTCTCAGTCAAACGGGCTCCTTATCATAACACTCTGGCCGCAGGCGTTCGAGACTGCGTTCGAGACCCTCGCGCTGTCGCCACGAGGGCACGACAGAGAAGCGGCGATCACGCTGGCCCCCAGGCCCGTCGTTGTCGATTTCCTCCTCCTCCTCCTCCTCCTCCTCCTGCTCCTCCTCCTCCCTCATGCTCCTCCCGCCCCTTCCTCCTCGAACTCCGAAGGAGGAGGGAGGAGGTTCCGCGGGTGGACTTTGTGAGCTCACCGCGCCTGGCTGAGAACGATGGGCTCCTTGCGCACGTGCGGCTGCCCTGGCGCCAACACGGGGAGGGAGGAATGGAGGAGGAGGAGGAGCAGGAGGAGGAGGAGGAGGAGGGGGAGGGGAGAGGAGGAGGAGGAGGAGGTGGAGGAGGAGGACCAGTGTAAACCCAAGAATCGTCAACGATGCTGGGGTAAACCCTCCCTCCGAGCTCCCTCTTCACAGGTCCCTAGAACGGTTCATGTTCTTTGATGGAACTGCCTCGTTGGCAGCCACCCGTTTGAAGACCCTGCACCATGCCAAAACATTGTTCTCGGGATTCCAACGCCACGGATCAACCTGACTGTTGCGTCTTGACGATCCTGAATCACGCCAGAACACTATTCCTAGGACTTCAACGCAGAGAACCAATGTAACTGTTGCACCGACATAATCCTGAATCCTTTTTTAGGGAAAAATCTCTGGTACGTTGATGATGGGAACCCGTACAACTACTGAAAACTGATGAACGAAGATGCGCTGCGTTAAGGCGGGAGCCGCCCTCAATCCGTGAAGTTCTTGCAACTGTTCAAAACGAATCGGCGCCGCGCCAAAGCGAGAACAACATTTTGGAAACGACCCGCCCTTAATCCGTGAAACTCTTGCAAATGTTTAAAACGAGCGTGCGCCGCGCAAAAGCGAGAACCACATGTTGAAAAACACTCGCCGTCAATCCGTGAAACTCGTTCACATGTTTAATACGAATGTGCGTGGCGCTAAAGCGAGAACCACATTTTGCAAACGACCCGTCCTTAATATGTGAAGCTCTTGCAAGTGTTTAAAACAAATGTGCGCCGCGCTAGGGCGAAAGCCACATTTTGATAACGATCCGCCTTCGATCTGTGAAGCTGTTGCCAATTATTGAACATCAAAATCATAAGCGGTGAGGAAGTCTGAAACGAAACGCCCGGCCCGCCCTAAAAACTGGCCGCTGGGTGCGACAGGGGGAAAGTATTCATAAGGAAAAGGAATGGAGGGGGAGGGGGAGGGGGAGGAGGAGGATGAGGAAGAGGAGAAGGAGGAGGAGGTGATGAACAGGCGCAGGCGGAGAGGAGGCGAACGGGGAGGGAGCTTGAGCCCAGCACTGAGGAAACAGGTAGCGAGACAATCTGTCGATACTTTCGCGCCTGGCCTTGGTAATGAAATGTGGGCGGCACGACACACCTAGGGACGAGTGGAAGGAGGGCGGGAGTGGAGGGGACAGGAGGAAGCAAGAGTGAATTAATCACGTCTCGCTGTTTTTCCACATGCTGTTCAGAAGACCCACGTGTGTGTAAGAATGCGCGTCTTGATCGCGGCGGTCTGAACTGAACGAGAACTAAAAATGCCGACGTGCGAAGGGGCGAAACGGAAGCGGAGCGAAACGGAACGGGGAGGGGCGCGGGCAGTGTGGGGGGGCAGAATGACAAATGGGGAAACCTATGATCAGAGCTTGGGGGGTTAGATGACTGAAACGAGCCCCCTAACCCAAGATCGGGTTCGGCTCATGTTCGTGCCGTGCGCGACATGCGTGCGGGCGGGGCGAAGCTGCCACAGTGCGAGGCAGATTCCGGGCTACTTGAGGCAACGTACCATCAAATTGTTCCCCCACCCAAGCCGCGGGTCGGTGGCTCCCAAGTTGTCCAGAGGTTGTCCCGCAATTGCCTCGTGGCTGTCCTGTGGTTGTCCCGTGGTTCGTGGCAACACCATGGTCGTTCCATGGTTGTTCCGTGGTTGTCCTGTGTTTGTTCCGTGGCCGTGCGTGTCCTGTGGTTTTCCTGTCGTGGTCCCGTGGTGCTCATGTGGTTGTCCGTGGTTGTCCTCCAAAGTTGCCCCGTGGTGGCTGGTAGGTAGGGGCTGGTAGGTAGAACATAAAATCGATCTGTATATTGTGATACTGTCGCCAGCGGGGTTCCTGGGGGAGTTCCCCCTTCCAAGGTCGGCAGCACCGGGCGTAAAACCTTCGCAATCGATCGATATATTGATCCTGAGGTCGATGGAAAGACCGTGAAACCGATTGGCAATGAGAACGGTACTCGCATAGTGAGACTGGTGGACCATGACATCGATCTAATGATACGGGCATTTGCTTATCCCAGACCAGTAGGTGAAACCTCACATTAGTTAGACCAGTAGATTGGTTGATGGAGAGATCAGCAAATTGTGATATCGGTCGATTTCTTGTTAACCAGTGGCTGTTACGTGGTTGTCCCGTGGTTGTTGTGTGGCTGTTCTGTTGTTGTCCCGCGGTTGTCCCGTGGTCATGCTGTGGTAGCCCTTTCGTTGTCACGTCGTTGCCCCAAGGCTGTCGTATGATTGCCCGTGGTTCTCCAATGCTCGCTCATTCTATAGACAAATACACGGTGAGACGGGTAGGCGGATAGCCCGATCGAGCGAAAAATTGGTACTTTGACCAAACTATTATGTAATGTTTGAACATGCAACCCATAGAGAAAGTGTGAACACTACATCGCGATAGCACATGGTATGCTGATTGTGGCATCGGTATACTGGCGGTGAGACGAAGCGACAATTCATTAGTCTGCTAATTCGGCCAGTCGATGGACTCACAGTGGTATCGCCATAAAGCGAGACCGATCGCTATTTTGATAGTAAAACCGATGGTTAACAATGACAGCGAAGGAAAAAAATGTTACCCGTGATTGTCCCGTGGCTTCCCCGCGTGAAGACGGACAGTCAGGCCAGTAGGAAAATCATGGGATCGGTGCGCAATTTGTAATGCGGTAATTTAAAACATTTGGTGAAGATATACAGAATGATACCGACGGACGGACCGATAGTGAAGTCCATAGAGAATTTGCGAGACATGCAAATCGCGACATTATTCGTTACAGCGACAGCAGGGCCGGAATATTGAGAGCGGATCTATGGTTAGACCCGTAGTTCAGTTGATCGCTGCACGGATGAAACATCAACAAGTGGACAGATCGATGAATGTGTGGCTGCCCCGCAGATGCCCCGTGGTTGTCGCGTATATGTATTGTGGTTGTCTGTCGGGGGTTATATGGTTTTCCTGTCATTGCTACGTGCTTGTCTCGCGGTTGCCCGTGGTGCCCCCGTCTATAGGTATATGGCTGCATTTTTCTGCACCCCGCTCACCTGGCGTGGAGGCTCAAGCGTGACTGGCGTATATAGCCATCAGCATCGAGGCAAGCTCCTGCCTCGACGCGCGCAGCACAGCGGCCGCGCGGCACAATCGAGAGAGAGGCCGAGCACGCTGCCTCTGCAGCCTGCTCGGGCTCCACTCGCCGCACTTCGAAACTTATTCGAAAAGAAACGCCTAAGAAACGCCCTTGTTCTTACCGCAGCCCTTGGCGGGGACGGAGCCAAAGGCAATTATGGCAGCCTTCTTGGCTGCCCGACGCCTCGGGCCAAGGCCAATATCTAATACGAGTTCGATCCCTTTGTCACGTAACAACTGAGCCTCACGATCATTCGAGAGCGGCAACTCAACTTCTTTGCCAGAGGACATAGAAACGTCAACACGAACTCATCACCGCCAGCTGCGCTCATCGAACTTTCGGCCTTGTAGCACCTGGAGACGCGGAATAATGACGGCAACACAGATGCCTTTTTCCCCGCCGCAGCAAACAAAACAAGAAGGGCCGTCACCATAATTATCTGTCAGCTCTTTCTTTTCTCCCAGTCGGCGATCTGCTTTGGCAACGCATCTCGGTGCTCCATTTCCTCGTAGGCCTCGCCGGCGCGATACAACATCAGAGAAGAGGGCCACTGGTTTCTTGCTGAAGGCGATCCAAGAAAGTCGGTCTCCTCGTTCTTTGCCTTTTTGCGATCCACTACGCCCGCCCTGTCGCACTGTTCGATAGTCCAGTCCCTCCCCTTCACCAGCTCTTTCTCCAGAGGCGCTTCCAACGCGAATTTCTGATCGCGGCACAAAACTCCACGTTCTTCGTCCCCATCAGCTGGGTGAGCGTCGCAATCGCCCCCATCAGCTGCAGCTCCTGAGCGCGCTTCATGCCGCAGGCTGAAGTGACCCCGGCCTCGGCCACGTTTGGCCTCGACCTTGCCCTCTGCCTTGCCTTTCTTCGCGCCAGTGGCCTTCCGCTTGGAGTCCACATCCTCTGCCACCTGGCGTGTGACTCTCCCAGGGGTGCCGAGGATCACGTTGTGCTGTTTCAACTGATAGTGGGGCCGCGACAGTAACTGAAACAACTGAGAGAAGAGGGCAATGGAGAAAGCAGAGAAGTTTGACCAGAGAAACTCGGCGGCTAAATTTGGTAACTCCATGGACACATTCCGTAGCGCCACGAGAAACATCGGCGAAATCATGATGCGTCCTGGCAGTGCCTTGAAGGCACCCCGCGAATCGCCAATGCTGAACAGTAACTGAACCTCCCCCGCCAAGGGCACAGCATCGGCTTTCAGGTCGGCACAGATAGCTGCCATGGCTCTCACAGTGAAAGAACGCTGAGCAGAACAATGCAGGGTATAAAGGAGCTCGCCGTCCGCAGAAATCCGCATCCACCTCTGCACCTCAGCCACAAATTTCACAATCGCCTCTCGGATCACGAAACCAATATCTGAAGCAGAACGGACCATATCATCATCAAACATAATCATACTGATCATTGGAACTGTAGGCAGCTGGCTTACTCCCCAGTCTAGACTGAACGACGGCGCGGTACTTGATCATCTTCTCACCAATTACATAATTGCGCGGGGCGTCCTCGTCCGCCTTCATACAACCGCACAAGTTGACGGCGTCACCGGACAACTGTCGGCTCAAGCGAGGCACTCTCTTCGGGGACTTCGCTGGCTTCTGCTGCGGCAGCAGAAAGGGACCGCCCACAGGGCGTCGATCACGAAAACCTCTAAGACGCACCAAGGAAGTGTGACCGGCCTGCGCCGACGAGCCTGGGCAGCGAACAACTTTGCACATCAGAAAAGATGTACGGCAGTGACTTCCGCTTGGACGGGTCCACGTCCAGTGAATCGTCGACGGAGGAATAATATGTGTTGGGCGCTTTCACAGGAAAAGCCTGCAGCACAGTGGTAAGCACATAACTGTTGGCGGTCATACGAAGAGAGAAACTGCACCGCACCCGGGAAATCCTTTCCACATCAATATACATAGACGTGCCATGCAGAAATGCAAAAAGAATATCCGCGGATCTGAGCAGTCGTATAAGCCCGAATAACCTGCCCACGACACACAGGCTCTCACAGTTGAACATGCGAACTCGCATCTGGTGTACGTCATCGCGAACAGGAGGCTGCCATCGTCGACGAGACACAGGGGAATCCTGAGCAAACGGCGAACCCAACAAGTCAGCTGCCTTGGTCTTCGTGCCTAAAGCCACTTGAATACTCTGGAAGGTCGCGAAATCGGCGAGCTGGGCAGCCTGCGCAATGTCAAACTGCCGGCCACAATACCGACACTGACTACTCAAAACCAGACGTCGCATGGCTCGCCTCATCACACACCTCGTGACAGGTCATGCCCGTGTTCTCCAGCGATCTGACATCTGCATTCATACAGCTGGATGCGCGGCCGTCGGGCTGTGGCCGCACCCTCGGCTCACGCCAGTCGCAGAGGCAACTAATAAGAAGAAGAAGAAAAAGAAGAAGACGAAGAAGAAGAAGAAGAATCTCGGCGCCTAGACTTGGGACTGTGACCCTGAGGAATCGGTGTGTTCTTCGCTCCAGGGGGACGCCGCTCTGCTCGGGGATCCCTTGAGCCGGAGCGGTTGCGGCCGCCCCCCCCCCCCCAGGAGGGGTGCCCCCCGGCGGAACCTTGTGTGGCTGCACAGCGACATCCGCCACCGTACCCTGCGGCACGAGCTGGCGTGCCCGCAGGTCCCCTGGAACCCTCCGTCCTGAAGCCTGGGTGAACGAGCACGGTGGGGATATTGGATAAGGAGCCCTTTGAGAAGGAGGCCAGGGTCTGGAAGCCGGTGGAACTCCAATCGTGGATCGGCCATGGATATCACCGCCGCCCTCATCAGATAAGGAACCTTCAGGGTCTGAAGCGTCCTGGGCACGCTCCTTAATCAACGCCCCTACCGTATGAAGGGAACCGGATCCCTAGCTCACTCCAAGATGCCTGCGTGCTGCGTGACACTCGGAAGCCACAACGCCCCTAAACCGGGCCACCCGGTTGAGGTGGCTGGTTGGGTAACTTCCGTGCTCTTTCCATGCTGCCCCCTCGTAGGCGCTCGTGGGCCTCCAGGGGCCTCGTGGCCGTCGTGGGCGCCCCGAGCGCTGGGCGGGTATTCGGAAGCCAGAAAGCCCCAAGACGGGCCCCAGCCAGAGGGCGCCGAGGCGCCTCCCGAGGTGGTCCAATAGTCCACCGAGACTGCCAACGAACGCTCCAAGGTGCCCAAGGGGCGGCCTCAAGACGGCCCAAGAGGCGCACGGAACGCCCGAAGAGCGCTCGAAAAGCTCACCCAACAAGGCCCAAAGAAGCAAACATCATTGATTTCGATATGTCTTTCACGGATAGCTGCGTTCTCACCTTTTCGGGCCCCCGTCCAAGACGGCCCAAGGTGCCTTTTAATATCACCCCCAGGACGACAAAAGAGGCTCCCAGGGAGGCCCAAAGACAATCCAGCAGGCAAGATGCCCCAAAGGCATCCAAAACCGTCTCCAAGAGGCCCCCGAGAGGCCTCTGTAGACATCCCCACAGGCATCCAATAAGCATCGGATCTACAACCTGGGCACGGTGGCGGAATGGGCCGAAAGCCACTACATGTTTGCATACATCATGTAACTGTATAAGCATATATGCATACCGATGTGCATGTGCAACTATACGTGTACGATCACGCACATATGCGTAATATATTTGCAGACGGCGATAGAAAGAGAGAGAGAGAGAGTTCACCAACGAGGAATCGAGACTTCGACAGTGAAACAAACCATAGATTTAGACCGATGTGTGGGATGGTAGTGCGATATGTATAAACAGTTGCGCCTGGTGGATAGAGAGGTCGCCCGATGCTTTGAGAATGCGACATGTAAGTCGATAGACCATCGGCAAGGATGGAAACGTGTCTACACAACGGCAACGTGTTGTTGCACAGAGAGAGAGAGAGAGAGAGAGAGAGATAGAGAAGCACGCGCGTCCGTGCTGTACGAGCCGCTGCGCCCACCACCCCCTGCCCTTCGTGGGTTCCCAGCGGAGCTTCCGAATCGCCGTGGGGCTGCCGAAGCTTCACGCTGCGGGCGGCCGTGGGCGCCCCGTGGGAGCCCCGTGCGCGGGCGGGGTCCGCGCCGAGGCTCCGCCCGACGGGCGTGGGCGCCCCGTGGGAGCCGCGGGGTGCTCCGCCGGGGTGTCGCCTGGCGGGCAGCCGTGGGCGCCGCCTGGGCTCCTCGTGCTGCCCGCGGCACATACAGTCGAGGTACTATCAGAAGGAATGCTAAAGAAGGAACGGCGCCCCTTCTTGGCCCCAGAAGCGCCTAGGTGAACGAGGAGTGATGGAGGAGGAGCCACGGAAGAGCTTGAGGAACACCGGGCCCCTTTCCGCACCCGAGGCGATCCTTATTTCAGCGTCCTGGCTGTAGCTCGCGTGGCTGGGATTGTACCAGTTGGTTCTTCTTTTGAAGCGGACAGCAAGACCCCACAACCTCCACCCACATACGGATCAGGACCCACTGGGACATGGCAAATGATCCTCCATGTTCGATCTGAGCTTACACCATCCCAGGCAGACGGGTATCGCCCTCCCATCCCCGTCCCTGTCAACTGAAACTATGCGCAGAGCTGTCACCGAACAAATTGCGAGAGGTGCACACGCGCGCGCATCTCGACATACCAACCATTCCTGTTCTGCACGCGATAAAATCAAAAACCCGATCGTTACACATCTTGCACATTTGCAAGTCGCGCGCATTTGCTCCCGTCCACGCCGGGAATCCGCATTCTCCTCTCCCCCCGCGGCGGATCTGTGCTGATCCAGCATGCGCCCAATGCACGGATCCAAATCGAATGATACGACGCGTGCCACACGCGCGCGCGAGCCGAATCGCACTCGCGCGTCGAAGCCCGTCCAGAACCACTGGTGCTCAAACGTGAAAAAAACACCATACAGTCCTTCTTTCAAGAAGTGCCTGCAGTCTTGCATTTGTGCGCGCGCAGTGCCGCAACATAATCTACCCCAACACCACTGCATCACCGCCGTCATCGGCATCGCAAGTCGCCACCATGACCCAAATTCTCAATCAATCACCTTGGTCACAAGCGGCTGGGCATCATCAACGTCGTCGTCGCCGGCAGTGGCGCCGTCATTGGCTTTGCTGTCGGTGCCATCATCATCGCCATCACAGCCGTTGCTATTATCATCGTTACATAAATTGCCGGCGTCATCATGATACAGCACCAGCCCGAGACACCGACCCGCAATGAACCGCCAGAGCGCCAGCGAGGCTTTGAAGAAGCGCTGGGAAGTTCCCGCTGGTAAGCGCCGTCGCTGCCGCATCGGCTTTGCCAAACCAACTGGCTGCTCAGCGCGCGAGCTTGCGCGCGCTTGCACAACCGCAACGATGCGCCAGCCAGTGCCAAGTAGCCACCGCAATCGCGGCCGCCTGGGTTGTGCAAACGACTTGCGGGTGGGAGGGTGGGATGATCGCGCGAACAATTAATCTGACGACTTCAATTTCTGCGCGGTGGGCTGAAAGCAGATAGCTCGCACAGCAAATATTATCTTCCCAGCTGAAAAGTGAACTCCATCACACTTCCCCCCCCCAGGGTTGTTGTTCCTCCATGGTGGGCGCCAACATACACATGATTCTGCCACATCGCTCATGTTCCTTACGTGCTCATACCAATCCATCCATTCGGTTATCCCCCCGCCACCCATGTCAATTAATACTATGCGCGCGCTCTGGCTTACGGCAGGAAGAACTGTCCCAAGAACCCTTCGCAATACCAGGAAAAATATCGGCACGCGCGCACATGTCGGACCCATGCCAAGCACGTCCGTTTTGCAGGCCTTACGACATACGAACTGACAAACAGTCGTGGGCTCCTTCGTCGAAGCGATCGCCAATATGCTGCCCGCGCGCTTTCGCTGGAATCGCTACCGCAGGCAAACGGCTTAAACAATAGTGTCCACAATCCGCATTCTCACCGCACCACAAAAGTCATCCGCGTTGATCCAGCGTGCGCACAGTGCACGAATCCGCACCAACTAACACCATGCGGGCCACACGCGCGCGCCGCCACGCGCGCATGTCGAAGTCCGCCCAAAACCCTGGGTCGTCGCAGCACTACAGAACACGTTGTTCAACAACGTTTGAGAAACCGGACGTTCGTCAACCGAAAATTGCCCAGGTTTTGGATTTCCGCGCGACCGCGCGCGCACTTCCTCGCCATCGCCCGCATCAGCGCCGCCACATCATGTCACCGTCATCGACAAACGTTTTGCCGCCGTCATCACTCAAGCACCTTCGTCACCACCGACACACGGACATCATCATCGTCATCGTCGTCACCAGCATCGGCCCCGTCATTGGCCCATCCGTCGCCATCGTCGCCATCGCCACCACCATCACTACTCCATCATCGCTGCCGCCGTTGCCGACGTCATGATGACAACGCGCCTGCCCGAATCACCGACCTGCACTGCAGCGCCCACGTGCCAGTACGGCCTCTGAGACTCGCCGCGGAGTTGCCAACGGTAAGCGCCATCGCTGCCGCATCGGTGGTACCAAACCAGGTGGCCGCTCAGCGCGCGAGCTCGCGCGCGCTAGCCCAATCGCAGAGATGTGACAGCCCAGGCCTGCTGCCATCGCGGTCAGGGCCACATGGGTTGTGCAGAACAAGTTGCGGATGGGAACGGAGGAGGATTGCACGAGCAATGGGGGTGACAACTCATAAAGGTGACAAATATGTATTGTACCACGTGGTCTTCGCCCAACATAATGCACCACGCATCGATTATCCGTTCTAAGAGGCCCCACCCCCCTGTCGGACCCCCTCTGGGGCTTTGCAAATTGCATATGGTCATGCCTCGCCGTGAATTTGGCATACACGAATCCATGCCGTGCCAGGGCCAGGGGATATTCGTTCCCACCGCCCCTCTCCTGATCCTTGTCAAATTCGTCGACCCCCGACGCGTGAGATGAATGGCCGTCCCCCTCCCCCCCTCTACCACCCCCCTGGGGTCTGAAATCCGATTAGAGGGGCGGGGGAGGGAAGGGCGCGGGGGGGGAGCTCGCCACCGCACCACTGAGGCCTCCGGAGCCTCCAAATCTACACCCCATGGCCTCCAGGATGCCCAAGATGCTAGCGAAGCTGGCCCAAATTGTGCTCCAACGCGCCGAGGAGTCCTCAAAGAGGACCAAGGTGGCCACAAGATTGCCCAAGCGGCCTCAAAGACGGCCCAAAAAGGCCCCAAGAAAACCCCGAAAGGGCACCATGTTCGCATTTCTGGTCTTCACAGCGTCCCAGACGGCTCAAGAGGCCCCACGACCGTTCCGAGACGGCCCGAGAAACCCCCAACAGGGCCCCAAGACGGCCGAACAGGGCCCAAAGACGGTCCTACAGGGGGCAAAGATGGCCTAAGAGAGCCCCACGAGGGCCCCAAAGGAGGCCCAAACGAGGCAACTCGAACTGACAGTCCGAGCCCTCCGCCCCAAGAGGACCCCTCCCCCTCCTCCTGCTCTTCCTCCTCCTCCTCCTCCTGCTCTTCCTCCTCCTCCTCCTCCTCCTCCTCCTCCTCCTCCTCCTCCTCCTCCTCCTCCTCCAACTCCTCCTCCTCCTCCTCCTCCTCTTCCTCCTCCTCCTCCTCCTCCTCCTCCTCCTCCTCCTCCTCCTCCTCCTCCTCCTCTATATCCGTCCTGCCCCCCCCCCACCCATTCCTCCACGAACCCCGAA